AGTTTGTAGTATTCATAGGTCTAATTCTAAGTTTGAGTTATTCATTAGGTCTAATTCTAGTTTTGGAGTTATTCATTAGGTCTAATTCTAGGTTTTGGAGTTATTCATTAGGTCTAATTCTAGGTTTTGGAGTTATTCATTAGGTCTAATTCTAGGTTTTAGGGTTATTCATTAGGTCTAATTCTAGGTTTTGGAGTTATTCATTAGGTCTAATTCTAGGTTTTGGAGTTATTCATTAGGTCTAATTCTAGGTTTTAGGGTTATTCATTAGGTCTAATTCTAGGTTTTGGAGTTATTCATTAGGTCTAATTCTAGGTTTTAGGGTTATTCATTAGGTCTAATTCTAGGTTTTGGAGTTATTCATTATTCTTCCCACATTTTATAAAGATCGATCATTAGTTCGAACATGTCAAGGATTGTGAACTTTACCATACTTTCTCTCGTCGTTTATAAGGCAAAGTTTGGACTTGCTTTAGTAGAGCCACATAACTGAGAGAGACTTGGTCGTTTTTTTACTTTATATCACAATCTACTTTCTGTTGCGAGTTCTTTCGTTTGACACTTGGTTGATAAGAACAGTAGCGCCCAACTATCAACTTCTAATTAATTCCGAGTTGATTCTTCTGTTGCAGGTTGAATTACAAGAAGCTTCTATAAAGATATCAACTGTATCCTAGCGACCAGTGTCAGCCTTTGATTAAGGACGTAACTACAAAACAACACTGTTCAAGAACCGACAGAAGTACACGAAGCACACACAGACACACAAGAACTACTCCAAATTTTTGTATCGAGCGAAGCCTAAACGTCTGGCTACCAAATCATTCTTGGCTATTTTTGTTTTCCCTACATTTAAGATCACGTAACGTGTAACAGAAATGATAGTCAATACAGCAGAAAACAACTCAACATTTCTTTTCCCCTCACCTCAAAGTTGCAACACGCGACTCTTCTTGCATTGACCATAATTTTCGGCACACATATCTCAAACTGCCTGTGTGAAAGGAAAAAAAAACACATTCCACACAGCAATAACTCTTAGTCGTTATTACCTAACATAAGACTCGACCAGCTAATGACACTGGTTGTAGTATGTGTTCCTAAACTAACGACCTCACCAACGAAAAGTATTTTAGATGGTGAAACAATGATTACAAAGATAACGGACATGATAAATGACAGACTTACTACGCCTATATTTATACCAATGTCACAGTACAGAAAATATATTTGACTTTTCTCACATTTCAGAAACTAAGCCTCGCCTCCACAAGCTTGAAATACTTATAGATGCGAGAGCTAATACCGCGCCATTTTTAAATGTCTGATTAAGTCACAGTGTTTAGAGATATATATAGTTTCCGTCTTTTAATGTCCAACTATACTTCAAAGCGTTTTGTTACTTACACTGTTTTTATTTATGGGCCCTCTTCCTGCTCACATGGATTTTTTTTTAAACATATCAAGGCATACTTGTAGGTATGAGTCTGTCGTTGGGGGTGGTTAGTGAGCTCGACTCGCAATCTGTGGATTGCGGGTACGAATACCCGTCCTCCCCCCCAAACATGCTCTCCCTTTCAGGCGTGGGGGCGTTATAATGTGACAGTCAATCCCATTATTCGTTGGGTGAAAGAGTAACTCAAGAACTGGCGGTTCTAACAAAGTTCTTATCCAAAAGATTAACAGAAACAGACCGAAAGCTGTTCTAATAAAGTTCTTATCCAAAAGATTAACAGAAACAGACCAAAAGCTGTTCTAATAAAGTTCTTATCCAAAAGATTAACAGGAACAGACCAAAAGGTGTTCTAATAAAGTTCTTATCT